GTCATTTATCATAATAATGCTAAATTTGTCATATTGCCCATCCCTATTCTTCTATGACATCCCACCCAAGAACCTTTATTTCTACCCTTATTTACATTTATTTATTTTTTTTGTATAGAGTGTCTTGATAAGCCATGTGGCCAGCCATATGACTGACAGTGAACCAAAATGGAATTAACATTCACATTTACTATAGTGAACAAAGTCAGAATGGTCTCCACAGTGTTGTGATTATCAGTATTTATTAAGAGGTCTATGCAAAGCATTAACATCCCCGACTAATGTGCACTGCGCTGCTGATGTTCCCTGCTGCAGGCCAATCTCATGGACATCTGTGAGGTGATAATGGAGAGGAACAGGCACGACAATGAGAAGTCCTCTTCCACCACTCTGCAGTACCATGACCTTGAGGCCGCTGAGGCTCTGGTGTGCATGAGCTCCTGGGTCCAGAGGTCCCCCAAACCTCGCCCGCTGACGCCCACCTCTGACTCCTGCGACTCACTCAGTCTGCACCATGAAACCCTGGAATCCCCCAAAGACCTGGTGTCCCTCTCTTCACTAGTGAGTTTCAGAGATGGAAAAAGTTTGTTTTGATTGCTTTAAGAGTTATACATGTGCTCCCAAAAGTTTTAATGAGTAGCGCAACCAAAAAAAAACATAATTCTGGGAATACAAGAGAACTGAAAGTGAGGCTAATACAGAATTTTGAAAGGAGAAGTATGTGCTTGTTAATGTAAACTGAACTGGGTGGGACATGATGTACTAACTTGACTTTCTCTTCTGCACCAGTGCATGACTCCACCACACAGCCCCAGCTTTGCTGAGACCTCAACCACCTCTGCTCTCATCACCACCATGCCCTCCCTGGCTGGTTTGGGCCTCAAACCGAGTGTCTCACGGCCCAGAATGTGCCCCGTACTGACCACTGGGGCAGCAACCCACAGTAGCCTGCAGGCTGGCAGCACCACATTCCTTCCAAACAATCTTCCACCAACACCCTCTGAGCCACCTGCACAGCGCAGGGCCATGGCCACCAGTGTCATACGGCACACTGCAGATACATCTCTAGATCACCACATTCCATCCCCTACCACAGTACATGACAGGCCAGGACCCTCAGAGAGTCCTGTCCAGCAGCCTGATCCCAGTGCCCAGGTCACCATTCTGACTGAAACACAGACATGTAGTAGTCCATGTACTACTGCAGAAGAGGAAAGAACTATCCCCTCAAGTAATTCTTCAAGTTCCTCAACCCCTGTGTCACAAACCTCTCACTCCATGCCTCAGTCTCCCATAGCCAGCCCTCCAGTTCTCTGCCAGGTGTTTCCAGTCAACGGGCAGACTGGCATCATCTCTGCAATTGTGCAGACACATGTTCAGATGCAGGCCACCGGGCAAAAGCCCATCCTTCCTCAGTCATCCTCTTTCTCCCAGCCTCTTCTTGTGGGCCCTCCAGTGGCTCAGGGTACTGTGATGTTTGTAGTTCCTCAGTCTCAGGCCCCTCCATGCCAACAGAATGTTGTAACTGTTGGCAACACTAAGCTCCTGCCCCTGGCCCCTGCCCCAGTGTACATGCCCCCAGGTCAGAGTGGGGGCACCACACAGACAGACTTCTCTCGCAGGCGGAACTACGTCTGCAGCTTTCCAGGATGCAAGAAGACATACTTTAAGAGTTCCCACCTGAAAGCTCATCTGAGAACCCACACAGGTTGGTGTTTATTCAACAGAGAAAGTGCTGTAAACCTTTACAGTTGACAGTTTATATTTTTAATCATATATTCTTCTTTTCTCCAATTTTATTATAGTTTTATTTATTAGAATGAACAAAAATGTTTGATTTTGAAATTATTAAACAGTTTTTAATTGGGATCTAAAGGGCTAATTTATAGCTGTGGTACTGCATTCATTTAACAGGAGAGTGCTTATACATGTTATGATTATGACTGTTTTTGTTTCTCAGGTGAGAAGCCTTTCAGCTGCCACTGGGAAGGTTGTGACAAAAAATTTGCACGCTCCGATGAGCTTTCCAGACATCGCCGCACTCACACAGGCGAGAAGAAGTTTGTGTGTGCAGTGTGTGACCGACGCTTCATGCGAAGCGACCATTTGACCAAGCACACACGCCGTCACATGACCACCAAGCGGTCTGCAACATGGCCCACCGAAGTCCGTGAGCTCAACAAAATGGCCTCCTCCCAGGAATCATCGGCACAGTCTTCTCTGGCTCTCAGTGTGCTTTTACCTGCCTCAAACTAGGCCGATCCTCAGGCCACTCAGTCACCTCAGGACAATATCCCACTGACCATTTTACAGGGGAAACGGAAAACCAAGGCTGCTACACATCCATGTACAAAATGAACTGACCTTGCACTGGATTTTTTTCTTCTACCATGGTCGTTTATAAAGAATTTTTGTTTACTTTTATATAAGTTATGTCTCCCAAAATGTATGCACTTCCTTTGCCAAAGTCTTCGTGTCAGTTCATATTACCTATTGTAAGCCATTGTATATTTGTACATAAATGTAACTATCTATATGAATGTAATGTGTATTCAAACATGCATTTAATGACAATATATGAATAAATGTTACGTTTCTGTAAAGTGAACAGTATTCCTACCTGTGATACTACCTATCTTGCTTTGAACATTATTTAATAATGAACATTTGAAGATTCAAATAAACCATCATCTATATGTTGAAGTCTGTTTCATTCTACAAATGGTAATTGCAGTTCAAGTTGTTTGACAACAGAAAGCCGTTCAAAGTGAAACAAAGAGAGTCGAGTCATGTTTGAAAACGTGCGATTTCCATGTACATTGTCATAAATACATGTAAATATTGCGATATAATAAACAATTCTAGATTGTACTTAGCCTACAAAACCTGTATTGTAAAATATGTTAACAAAAGCACCCAAAGATTGCCCAAAGAGAAGAGCAAAACAATAAGTTCATTATGCAACCCTACACTGAGGCTGTTCTGGATCCAGTTACACAACACTCGCTCAGCGCAGTCTCCCCATAACACCCGGTAACAAACTTCGTCCAATCACGTCGCGCTGTTGTGGAGCGGTTAGGGGGCGCGACCAATCACTGCCGACCATGGGCTGTGGTGCCTTTTCTGATTGGTTGACGTTAAACCCGCCCATCTGCCTTACTGACCGATATTCTCAAACGGAGAAGCAAAATTTGCTTTGAGACGAAACCGTCTTTTAACATGAGGTGACAAATTAAGTTTTAGCATTTTTTTTCTCCGTACACAGTTAAAATTACTCAGGAAGTGTAAATAAAGGTAAAAAAAAGAAGACGAAAAAGGGGGGTTAGCGAGGGTGAACTGAGCCTTAGGAACAAAACAACAATGCAGTTCTCTGGTTGGCTTGTATCCCTAAAACCCGCGTCAGTCGTGACTTTCAACAACAACAACAACAACAACAACAGCCGCAGAAAGGGATAAAAGCGGCCGGATAACATGCTATGATTTTCAGTTACTGAAATGATAAAGGCATGAGGCCTAAATCCGGTTTCGACAACCCAGTCTCGGCGTAAACAAAAGCGATCGTTTTACTAAGACAATTGTTTACAAGTCAAAATTACAGCGTCCGCGTTGTTTACCTGAATTTTGGCTTTTGCAACATCTAAAACCGCTCCGTTTGTGTAGAATGCTGGGCCTGTTGGGGGCATGCATGAAAACTTATTTGTTTTAAACACATTTAAACACATTTTCATATGCCAATATGGTATATGTCAAAAGCGTATAGAACAGTCCGCCATTTCTTCACACGTATGAACTATAAAATGAACGCTTGTTGATTCAGAGCAGAGGCTTTAAGACTAGCCATTAGATTAGACTAGATCAGCATGTTCTGCTTAATTCCGCCACTGAGAAAACAGGCTACCGTAAAACAACAAACAGGAGACCACAGGCCGTATGTGAAGCTTTAGTGAGGCGCGACCCCTGCTGTCTCTGCAGCTCTACTTCTGACTGCACAAACAGCCCATCGCCAGGACCTATAATCTGCGACTTACAGGACTTTATATTAGAGTACAGTATGACTGGGCCCTGGAATCTACAGTTTATACAACAAATATTCTGCGCCTGTTTCCCGCATTAAATCTGTATAAATTATTACAACTCAAACGTTTTTGATTTATTCAATTTAAACCTTCCATAGGGAGCTCCGCTCTTTTTAATTATTTTTATTTATTTGTTGTTGTTTTTTTAAGTATAATTTGTGCAGTTTACATGTGGTATCCGGGACCTGACAGTTGACTGCAATGTATGGTATTTACTTGGTTTATTTACAGTTTAAAATCCATAAATATGTAACTAAATAGTAGTTTTGTATTGTTCCTTTTAATAGTCTAACTAACTTAATATTAAACACTGTGTGTGCTACTGTGCTATATTGATCTTTTAAATTTTATCTGTTGTTGTCTCAGATTATTTTCATTAATACTGTCATTTATTTTATTTATTACTGTTATTGAACTTTTCACTTTCAGCACTTTTAGCTGCTCTATGTACGAAAAGTGCTCTATAAATACTGTTTCCATTTTTCTTATTTTTATTATTGTTCTAGTTCTTCTTCTTCTTCTTCTTCTTCTTCTTCTTATTATTATTATATGTGGGAAATATCATGATATTAAATTTAAATCAATATCGTCCAGCCATAGTATTTCTGTGCTTATGTGTAACTAAAATATCTACATTTTTGAATGGATAAAAACATCCTATACTTGCTTATGCTGTAATTAATAATAAAGGTAATTTTCTTCTTAGATTCAGCTCTTTGCTTCTGTCTGTCTGATTGTTTTGGCAAAATACTCTGAAAGCCTGAAATAAAAACTGGATTTTTTTTTTTTACTTCTCTTCTGTTGTGCGGGTCTCATTGCCTGTCAGTTTGCCGCGGTTAAATCCTCCTGCCGGTAGGGGGCAGTACTCTAAAAGCTGTCAGCTACGAGCGCGCAGAGTTTTCTCTTGTTTGTGTTGCTGAGCTGCTGAACGTTTGTGGTCTAACGAAGCTGGGAAGTTTTCGGGGCGGAACAAAAAAATACAAACTTTTGAGAGGATTTATGAGGAATTCCTCAGGCTGCCCTCGATCGTCAGCTCGATACATGACTTTACTATGGATGTTCTGTAAATACTGTCAGCTGTGCTGCGGAAAACCCCCCAAACACCCTTATAAACACGGACACTGGGCTCAGTAGTGGCTAGTTGGACGCGGGCTTTGCTTGACTAATGTTAGGCGTTGGCATATTTTAGCGCATCTATAGGTTGACGCCCCGCTGTTTATCAGTATAAATATTAAAAGTTCATTTTTGTCAATAATGTCGGAAGAGCAGAATCATATTTTAGGTTTTATGAGTGACACTAATAGGTTAGCTTGGCTGGCTGCTCCAGTATGCCACTTATTTGGTTAGCTTTAGCAATCGCGCCAAATTTGATCATTAATAAAACACGATTCATGCAAATATGTAAATACTAATTTATACTAAGTAAGGAAGGTGTTCATGGCTCGGTCAGCTGAGGAGCTGTATATAAGTTAGATGATCCATTGGTGGTGGTTACTCCTGAATCTGGCGGGAATTTGCTCACCAGGGCTGCTTTGTTACACGGCAGAAAAGTGTCTAAATAGCCGTGTTAAATCGTTAGACCAGTGAATTGTGCAACTTTTCTCCACTTTATCTTGTTGGTGCATGGCTTGGAACCTGCTGGTTATTTTTTTAATGATTATTAGTGACATAAACCAGTGTGTTATTAGTCATGTTAATCGTTCCTTCTGTGTCCCTCTTATCTGGTTAAAAGTGACGTTTGAAATAAAAAAGTACATGTATAATTTTGCGTACATTTACAGAATTATCCCCATCTGTATCTTTTTTATCGTTAAATAGATAAACGAGTATATTAGACATCTCTTCCCGCCTTCATCGTTTAGAAGCAGAGCAAGAGATCTTTTATTTATTATTACACACATAAACTAGCGTGTCATGTGTCATATTAGTGTTCTCTAGCGTTTTTGTGCGTGTTTATATGCGGGTGTGTGTGCATTTCAACTGAATATGCGCTATTTTTAAACTTACTTGCTGATTTTTTTCTCAAAGCGCGCCTTTTTTACACAATCTAAGAAAACCGGTCACGTATTTGTGTAGAACACAAAACTCACAGCGTTTGAAATTCCCGCGATCCGCATATGACGTTCGTGATTCTAATTGGCTGGTGGCATCAGAAAATGTTAAATAACCACTCGGAACTTCGCTCTCATTGGTCGGGCTGGATCGAGCGCCAAGAACTGAATAAAAAGGGAGCAGCTGGAAGACTTTCTTCATTTAGTTTCTTCACTACGCTTAGGGTTTCCTGCTCTGCTCTCTCTTTTGTTTCTTAGCCTTTCACTCTTTGCTTTTATTTCTACCTGTTTTTTTACAGCGAGAACTTTTCATCCTCTTTTTAGCTCCTCTCAAAATAGACAATGCTGTCCACTCGCTCTCCTCTCAAAGCCAAGAACGAAAACGCCGTTTCTACAAAAATGGACACCCTGTCGCTGGTGGACAAAGAAAACACGGTAAGTAACGTAAACTGCGGTGCTTATAATCTGCTAGCAACGTTGTTAAGTAACGTTAACCTATCGTTAGGTAAGGTAACGTCAGATGACTTTTGTTGAATAAGGCAGTGTAATACGAGGTGCAGAATGCTTGTTAGTGTTTTAACTGAAGTACATGTTAAATAACTGAGTGGTTTTGTTCTCACAGCCCCCAAGTTTGAGCACTTCAAGAATCCTGGCTTCTAAAACGGCGCGCAAAATCTTCGCTGACTCTGAGGTAAGTTCCCTAATCTGAGACACTTCTTACAGCCCATGGGCTCAGTCTGCCCGCTTGGCTTTAAATACGCTTTTGAGTGCTTTTAACTCAAGAGGACATCAAGAATATCAGTGAACACCGACTTAAAATCTGACCATGTATCGTTAAAGTTAACAAGCTCCCTCCCCTTTCCTGGTGTAAGGTGAACTCTGAATTAAATGTAAGGGTTTCTAGCTGAGCTGTTGGGTAGTAAACGTCACCAAAGCTGCAGGGAGGCTAACCGGAACAGCTGACCCACTTTTTTGGCGGTAGATAGTTAGCTAGCTAACCCGCTAACTAGCTAGCCTATTGTGTCAAGTTAAAATGCACACAGCACCACAAAGGTGGAGCGAAGCTGGCTAGTTAACTGACATGGAGCACTTAAATGAACCAAAATAAGCTTGGTTTTCCTGATAGCCTTTCTTTTTATTTATTTATTTATTTTTTTTTGACGTGTGACTAGTTAGAGGATTTAACCTAACATAGGGAACCTCAAGAATTGATTAAATGCAGTTTTTGAAAGTGTTTCAAGTGTGGTAAAGTTTAATGGGTTTTTAAGAGCAGCTGGCCCATGGCTTTATAATAAATGGTACCACTGCAGGTTTTTGTTGACCAGAAAGATTCAGTGCTCCTGTATTTGTATGTTTTGTATATCTGTTACTATATTCATACTGGAAGTCTGCTGGATTATTTATTGTCTTTGTCTTCTTTGCTTTCTGCCTTTCTCTTCAAAGGAGCAACCCAAACCCAAGAAAGGGAGTGTGGAGGAAGAACCCCTTCTGAAGGATAACCCACGCCGCTTTGTCATCTTTCCCATTCAGTACCATGACATCTGGCAGATGTACAAGAAGGCAGAAGCTTCTTTCTGGACAGCTGAAGAGGTAAACATATTACACTTTCTCTAAATATTGTGTGTGTATATACTTGCAGATTTAATTAATCCATCAAAATGTATCCAGCTGACAGTTGTTTTGTGGTCAGAAACTGATCAGCAATTAAGGGCTATAGGATGGTAGCGCTGATGACCGTAACACTGAAAAGTCCATGTGAGGGCTATGCAATCTCAAAGCATAGCAATGTCTTTCAAGAAAGTCTTTGTGTTGTGCAGTGAAAATGGTAGTTGTTGCAGTCTTGAGAGTACTGTGCATTACATTTGATTGTAAAAAAAAATCGCAGCGATCGTGTGATGTCCCTTCTCAAATGTTTGTCTCCCCCTGCAGGTTGATCTGTCCAAAGACCTTCAGCACTGGGAGTCCCTGAAAGATGAGGAGAGATACTTCATCTCTCACGTGCTGGCATTCTTTGCTGCAAGCGATGGCATTGTCAATGAAAACTTGGTGAGTTAAAAAGCTAATATACAGGCATCTAAAATAAGAGCAGTGTGATTTGAGTCAGTCACACTGATTTTTTTTTGTCATGTTTTCACCACCAGGTGGAGCGCTTCATGCAGGAGGTGCAAGTGACGGAGGCACGTTGTTTCTACGGTTTCCAAATTGCCATGGAAAACATTCATTCGGAGATGTACAGTTTGCTCATTGACACGTATATCAAAGATCCCAAAGAGAGGTAAGTCTACCTTTTTTAGTTCATGCTGAGAGGGCAGTGATGAGAAGCGCAGGGGTACGGACCTCAGCTGATGATGGGAGCTGAGTGTTGGTCTCATCCCAGATTGGTAGGCATGTGGTCAACTGTCTGGGAGGTGCCAACATGAAACAGTCGCTTTACTGAGCCCTGTAAAAGGAATTTGGGAGTTTTTTTTGATTTGCACACATCTGTATGGTCACTAATCTTTTTCTCTCTCATGTAGGGAGTACCTTTTCAATGCCATTGAGACTCTTCCATGTGTGAAGAAGAAGGCTGACTGGGCCCTCAACTGGATTGGCAACAAGGCTGCTAAATATGGTAACTTAAGTTCCTCTGGATTCCACACAAGCTTTACATTAAACAGTGGTTGGACAAGTGTGACCCGTCTTGTACTGTCTGTAGGTGAGAGAGTGGTGGCCTTTGCTGCTGTGGAGGGAATCTTTTTCTCTGGTTCTTTTGCCGCTATTTTCTGGCTGAAGAAGAGAGGCCTCATGCCTGGCCTTACGTTCTCCAATGAGCTCATCAGCAGAGATGAGGTAACAGTCTTGCACTATTAAAAGCAGGTAGTCATTCTTACTAATTCCAATGTGCTGTGTCTTTAAAGTTGTCTTTTGATTTCAGGGTCTTCACTGTGATTTCGCCTGCCTAATGTTCAAGCACTTGGTGAATAAACCTTCTGAAACAACAGTCAAGAAAATCATAATGAATGCCGTTCAGATTGAACAGGTATGCATCAACTATATCCAAATTCTTGGTTTTGAGCCTTCTGCTTCTGAAAAACTTAGACTTAAGACTTAAATGCCACCTTTTACTGTTTCCAGGAGTTCCTGACCCAGGCTTTGCCCGTTAAGCTGATTGGCATGAACTGTGACTTAATGAAGCAGTACATTGAATTCGTGGCTGACAGGCTGATGCTGGAGTTGGGTTTCAACAAGGTGAGGATATACATATCAACCATACATTCAGTATTGTGACAGTTCATATAGTTTCACAATACTGAATGTCAACTCGTACAATGTTAATTTTAAAGTTCAATAAATTTTTTGCACAAAAGCAGGTAATGTTTCTTTTAGATAAACACATCCAAATAGATTTCTCTCAATGACTTCATGTCATTGAGAGACATGTGCTTCACTTTAGTTTGGACTAAAATTTAAACATGTTCACACAAGCAGTGCAATCAGTGGCATGCGAGACAATAGCTGTATTTCTATTTGACAACCTTAAATTTTTTGTGTGTGAGCATTGAAAGCATTTACTTGACACAAATGCTGAGGCCATTATTAGCTCCTTTAAGGCAGGAGCGTCCAGTGTTATCTGCAAAGGGCTGGTGTGGCTGTAGGTTTTCATTCTAACAATGCAGGACTGCACATGATCAGTTGTTTAAATCAATTGTTCAGCTTTCAAACAAGTGGAATCAGGTGTGCTCCTGCTTCTTTGAAATGAAACCTTGCAGTCACACCAGCCCTTTGCTGATCAGACTGGACACCCCTGCTTTAAGGTAACTTCAAGTTAGCTTGGCTGTTGCTAGCACTCATGGCTCTTGGCCCAAGAATAGGGTTAGTGTTTCAGTGATATTGAAAACGGGAGCAGTGGCCAACCTATTGGAACTCTGTACAGGTGCTGTTATAACAGTTGATCCCAACCATGGAGTGATCATGCCAAGTATACCCATTGTTAGTGTAGTAACTTGTTGCTTTTTTTTTTTAATTATTATTCAGAACAGACTCTGCCTTATTTTTCCCCTTTGTCTGATATGCTGACCAAGACTATCAAAATCAATGACTTCATTCTCGTAACACTTTCTGATGAGGACGTTTAGGCTATCAAGCTATCCTACCTGTGGTTTTAATGAGGCTGAAGTCAGCTTCTCGTTCACTACCTTGTTTGAATTTTCTAGCTTCATCTTAAATGGTGCAGCAGCTACATTCTGGCACCTCAGGACAAGAAGCTGGTGAAAATGAAGCTGACTTCAGCTTCATAGTTTTAAATTTGACACTTCAGCATAAAGTAACCTAGTGTAACTGGTCAGACTCGTATTTCCATGTTCATTTTCTTCAAAACCAAAGTATGTCCACACAGCACTCCTGGCTTTTTGTTGGCTAAGACTGGCCACACAGGCAGTGAACTTACTGCAGCTGCTGTTTAACATAATCTGTATAACCACATCTGTATAAACCTGTAGCTGTATTACAGAGGCCTATGTGGGTCAAAAAAAGTGCAAGCTGGAAAGCACATGTATGAATAGTAGTGATTCTGTGGGGAAATGTGTATCGTACCGTTTCAGAATGTTCTGTATTGATACTTTTAACATTTGATGTCTTCCAGAGACCCTAAGAGTAACAACCTCTTCAGAAACTGATCCTGTATACAAATCTAATTAAATAACTGGATACTGCTTGTCATTTTATGAATTGTCTTGGCTTTTGCCATAATGTAACCATGCTTTGGGTGTTGCTTTTTGTAGATCTACAAAGTAGAGAACCCCTTTGACTTCATGGAGAACATTTCCTTGGAGGGGAAGACCAACTTCTTTGAGAAGCGAGTGGGAGAGTACCAGAGGATGGGGGTCATGTCTGGACCCACAGACAACACCTTCAGGCTCGATGCCGACTTCTAAACTTGAATGGAAAGTGAATGGACACTTGTAAATCTAACACTTGAAGAGGTGATGGTCCGCAGACCACCTCTGGATCTCACCAACATTGTCACTTGTCAGGACTGCTGGAACATCATAACTGCTGATTTGACTTTGCAGTATATGTTCTGTTAAGCATGTGGCTGTTTTTAAATAGCTTTTGGAATACGTTAATCCCAAATGCAGTAAAGCTTTTATCTTGTTTTCCTTTTTTATTGTATAAATTTTCTACAACTGGTGCTGGTTTATTTATAGCTTGTACAAACAGCCTTTCCTGCTTTAAATACGGCTTTCCTTTTAATGCCTGACCTTTCACTCTTGCCATCATCTTGATGCTGTTTAAAGATGTAAATAAATTGATTTTGATGGAAGATTCAGTTTATTTTGTAACAGTCCAGTCCAAGGTAATGGATTGAGCCCTTGACTAAGATTAGAATTGTTGCATTGTTAAATACTGAAGTTTTGTTCCTCTTTGCTCTAAATGTTAAAAATGACCATGTTTAAAGTTGCAGACACACATGTGAATTGGGTGTGGGATCCCCCCCCCGTCTGTCTTTGCCTCACACAAAAACCTGACTAAACTTTCTTTGACTTACTACATTTGGGGCTGGCTTTTTGTTTGTTCTGAGCCTTTAGTTTTATTGCAATTATTTATATCCCATGTACTACACTAAAGCTGCTAAATGTGGCTGCAGTGTAAAAGTGATGCCACATTTGGAATAAGAAGGGGAAATTGTGAGGGGGAGTGGGTGTTTATTTTATTTTTTTTTACCCCACTGAACTGCATTGATCAGTTCAACACTGGAATTTTAGCTGCTCCAGTGCAAGATGAGCAGCTGAAGGATGTGTGTTGCAGCAAAAAAATTCTCCCTCTGGGACTGGAGTAGACCATGCCTGCTATAGACTTCACAAATGGATTTCATAGGTAATATGGGGGGGGGCTGTATCCTTTTGTACAATTAGTACACACCTGTAATGGTAGATTGTGAACATGGAAACTTCCAAAGCTCTCCATGTATTTATAGCTATAGTTATCTGGAGCACTCCTGGAATGGGTTGAAGCAGCCAGCCATCCACTTTCTGAGGGCTCTGAACATACACATGGCAGAGTGGGCTTTTACTTGTCCAGCCTCCCCAAGAATACTTTAATACTGCACAGTAATACAACAGAGATAAAAAAAATCCTAAATTAAAAACATGAACTATTACAATAACCAAAGTAGCCCTTTAATTGACATTTTTTGTCTCTGTTGTATTACTGTGCATACTCCAGTACATAATCAGTCTCTCTTTAAGTTGCCACAATTGTTCAGTTAAATTTAATAGAAGACAGGAATGACTTGAATCATTGAAAGGGCTTAAAGGGGAATTCCACAGATTTTTTGTAAGATGTAAACAAAGTCATTCAGAGAGGTTTGATATGACATGCTCTATTCTGAATAACTGAGATAGAATTGTTCACAGTGGTGGTGAAAGGAATCAGATATTAACCTTTAATGCTTCTAAAAGGTACATCACAAAGGTTATAAAGAGTAAATGCTTATGAATATGCTAAATACCTGAAATGCTGCTTTTACGGTCGTTTTTGTATGAACCTAAAACCTATTTAAGAGCCATTCATGGCAGAGGGGTACATACAGGGCATTGTAAGACAAAATAGACCTTATAGAAAACTCACAAGACGTGTAAGTTCACTGGTCCTTTTGCATAGTAAATACAGTAGAGAAATATTGGCATTGTAAACATCACAATCCCTGGTTCCTATCACTGCCACTGTGAAGAAATCTGAGTCTTTCTCTACAGTGTGAACCACTCTGACTGACTCAGTCATCTCAATGATTGTATTATGCAGACGTTTTAAAAATTCAGTGGAATTCTCCTTTAAAGTATAGCTCTACTGTAACAACACATTAACACAGTGTTAATGGCATTAGGGGAGACCCTGTAGCTGTCTGTATTTACTGTGTTCATTATTAAGAGGGAATATTTCTGTGGGTATTCCTGATTAGTGTGCCTGTCATCATGCCATCCTGAAAGTATGCTGCTGACAACAGCTGCTTCAGCACCACACTGACACTCACACAATAGATCTGGTTAACGTACAGCGTGTCATGAGATGCTTATTAGAAAATATCCACAAGGAATATCTGGAAATATTCCAGCATAGTTGGATGTCAGTAGGATTTGAATAATAGAACAAGCCAGAGCAGAGTAACAACTGTATTTACAGTTATGTAGATAAAAGAGCTGGTATAAACTGAATGATCTATTTCAGAGGAATCACAAAACTAACTCAGTGAGAACTTTTTGTTTTGTGATATATTTAAAAGACAAACAACAACTATTTAAACCTAATCACAAACCATAGAGATGCCAAATTACAACTTCAGCTACTACACTGTGGAGTTTGAGTACTATGACCTGGTTCTCTAGACAGATTAAATCCAGCCCAAAGACTGAAAAAGGCCCTTCAGTTTTCTCTGTTTGGTGTGAATACCCCACGCACTCACCATCCTGGCTTGAAGCCAAGTCACAAACAGGTTGGTCAACAAACCATTGCCTCCGACACTGTGAATGTTTTTAAAAAAAACATTTGTGGCTAACAGCTGCCACACTGTAGATTAGGGTCTGTTCAAGCAGGAAGAGCAGCTGTGAGGCCAATTCAGCGCCTCTCCGTGACCTTTTAAGGAAATAGGTCCCCACAAACACACTAGTGTTGGCTATCTCTTTCATCTGACCTGTGTTGCTGACCACTCTGTCTTCTTCAGAACAACAGCTTACTTGTTATATTAATAGCATCAAACCTAGCAAACAAGCCTGCTAACTATGTGGAAACTTAGATATGAAGGGGAATCCCACCTTTTTCCAAAACCTCTGGATAATTAAATGATTAAAATGTAAAATGTCTTTCTGAGTGGTTTAATACTATGTCCTAAAGAATCTTACTAGAATTGTTAGAAACCAGACATCTGAAGCACTCTAAAAGCTCCCTCACAGAACATTACATAGTTACAAAGGTGTTGCCTGATGTCTAAGCATTTTTTATGTTGCTACTAAGTTTCTCCACAATGTAACATTTCACATCAAACCACTTTGACTGTTTACACCTCAACAGTTGAATTATGTAGAAGTTTAGAAAATGGTTGAATTCCTCTTTAAATATAGACAGTTCAGACAAAGGACTTCTGAAATGTTTCATTTCACTGCAACTTTTCAATTAAAAAAAAACCTGCAAAGACTTTGATCACATTAACAGGTATTTGCTAATAGTTCATGTAAATTTCACAGCATCAGTAACATGTCCATCAAAGTATCTTCCTAGGTATGAAGAGGTCCTTCAGTTTTGTAGTTTTTGCAGAGTTTTTAAAATGAATTTTACACAGCTAAGTTGTTGAAATATAAACAAAGTCATTCAGAGTGGTATGATGTGAAATGGTTATTGTAGAGAGATTTATCTGGTTATGATATCTTTAGTGGTGGTGATAGGAAGCAGTAGTTGTGATGTTTAATATAGCAAATACAGCCATTTTACTATCCAAAATGACCAGTGAACCAACATGGGTCATTAGTTTTGAGATATAACCTTGATGATGGTAAAATAGTGGTCAATCTGAAAAGTCAGTTTCCATTAGGGACTATTTTGCCTTAGAATGCCCTGCATGCACTTCTCCACCATGAATGTATTAGATATCATGCAAGACGTTTGGATGTCCTATCACCACCGCTGTATACAACTCTGTTTCTTTATAACACAGCATTTCACAGCACACCACACTGAATGATTTTGCTTATATCTTAACCATTTAATTATGCTGAAAATTGAAGCATTTTCCCTTCAATGTGTTTGAAAAATTGCCAACCGATAAAAGAAAACATGCTAAAACGAGACATTGTTCAAAAGCTATGTGTCCCCAAACATTTGATGTGCAGTGTGTACCTCTGCGCAAGAGGAGCTCCTCATGTGACCACTTTGTTTCAAAATGTCAGCTTTACAATAAATGCATTTATCACAGAGAGAAGAGGTCTATATAATGTTTACAGGGAAGCCATGTTTGATTTGACCCCACTGCCTGCGGCACTGTTGTGAATATCATTGGCCATGAAGGGCTCAGCTGCCATTATCAGCCCGAGTACATAAGAGTTCAAGGGAATCCTTGAGGATTGTGCTCACTAACTAACTATGTGTTCGGTGTGAAAATGTTCTAAATATAGCCCCTCCAACCCCGAGAACTGGCCTTCGTGGAGCTCAAAAATGCTCACACATAATCCGAGTATGGCACAACTCAGTGGAACATAGGTCGGTTAAATAACTCTGATCATTTTAAATAGAACTGGCTAAGAGCACAACTCTCCAAAAGAACTGATGAGAGATAAGATAGTAATGCATGTAGAGTAACACAGAATGAAATGCTTCTGATAGTAGAAACTACTGTCAAATAGTCTAGGTCATCATCTTTTATTTCCTTGTCTGGCACCAGACATTAATGAATTAATTGCAGGGAAATACTTTATTGTTATTGTGATAAATTACATCACAACATATTTTTCTCAGTATATTGTGGATATCATGTTTTAAAGGAATTCCACCTATTTCTTATAAAATGTCTGCATAATTCAGTTGGTGAGATGTAACTAAGGTCATTCAGAATGGGTTGATATGAAATGCTCTCTTCTAGAGAAACTTGCCAAGTCAGAAGTGCTCACAGTGGAGGTGATAGGAACCAGACATCCAAAGACTTTAATGCTTCTAATGCCTTTAATACCTCATGGAAGGTTATTAGAAGAAATGGTTATGAATACATTGTGTCTGAGATATTGTTTTACGATAGATTTAATCAAAGCTTTGGCCTGATCCGTAAGTCCATTCGTAGTGGAGGGATATATGCAGGGTGTGTAGGGAAAATAGTCCTCAAAGAAAACTTAATTTTTTAAGATTCACTGTAACCATCATAAACTTCACGCATAAAAATCTAGAAGACACGTGTAGATACACTGGTGGTTTTGGATAGTAACTAAAATTGATGTATTTGTGTTGTGACTGCTGGCTCCCATCACCACCACTGTAAAGAAAATCTGTCTGTAAGTTTCTCTGCAGTGCATCACTTCTCATATATACACAGAATGAAACAGAGAATGGCTCTGTTTACACCTCAGCACATGAATTATGCAGAAAATTTTGCCACATTGGTGAAATTCCCTTTTAAGTTGGGGTGTTGAAATTTAAGTGGCATATATGTGACATTTTATTTATTTATTCATTTATTTTCATAAAATTAATATCAAACAGATTGTGTCATGCTACAATGTGGCAAGAGAGAACAACATACTCATATAACTGACACATCAAGCTGCTGATGCACACCCTGATTGC